CTAAAAGGTTTGTGTTTATAATAAATTCAATTCTCTATTAAAATGTTCATGCATTAAAAAAAAAAATTCCTTATAAGACAAAAAGCACATAAATTTGTTTCATAATTAAATTTTACAATAATTAATAATGACATATAATATTTGATTTCATTAAAGGAAAATTTCAATGGCTTGGATGATAGGATAGGTGACAAAAAAGAAATAAACTTTGACACGGAACGTATTAAACTGATAAAGTAACCTCCAGTGTGCAATGGTATACTTTTTCAGTCGACATAACAAGTGCAATAATATTCTTATTAAATTGACATAATAATAGCAAGTACAATAATATTCTTTTATCAACTTAACATAATAATAGTAATAATATTAATAATAAGAGTAATGGTTTTCTTTTTTAAATCACAAACACAAATCCATTGTTTTTCTTCTTAATCGTTGATATCTAACATCAAGTTTAATGGATTTCTTCTTAAGGAAATATCAAACGTCAAGTCCAATAGTTTTTTTTCTTCACAAGATATCAAACATCAAGTCCAATGGGTTTCTTCTTACAGTGAATTGGCGATAACTACAAAAAAAAAAACAGAGAAGATAATAAGAAAAGAATTATTATAAATAAAAAAAAATATTATTCACTTAATTATGATTGAATCACTATTTAATTTTTGTTAATTAAATACTTAACTTTATTGCACGTTGCAGTATACAATGACAGGTGGCCATCTTGAATTTGTCCTAGAGATGAGTTGTCTTTCGTCTAGATGGCGATACATATTCTCTCTACCAGTCGGTAACTAAAGTAAAAATTTATGTAAACTTATAAAAAATTAATTATATTATATAAATTCAAGTTTTATATCACAAAAATAAATGTATTTTAAACAAGATTATTATATTTACCTCATATTGTCTAATATAGTTGCTTCCTATTTCTATAATAAAATACATGATGGTATTTCTACAAATGAATTCATACAAATATATACATTTTTCTGCTCTTAGTCGATTCCCAGTAAAATAAGTACATCAATAAAGCTAGTACATATTAAAAACTGCATACATTTGAATATATTTAACATTTCTTTTCTTAATTTGTGATAACTAGGAAACATTTCTTCTATCTAATATTCTTTTCATAAAATATTACTACTCTATATATGGTTTGCTTCTAGTGCAAGTATAAACAGTGACATAACCACAACTGCAATGATTTTCTATTTCACTTAACATAACTTTAAATTCAATGGTATTTTAAACTTTCTATTTCAAAAATATTACTTTAATCTGCTAAAATGTATATATGTTAATAATGAATTCAATTGTCTACTAAAATATTTCTATTAAAATGTTCATG